ATTTGCTGGTGCATCATTTGTTGCCTCTAAATTCACGATGTTAGATGAAGGTTAGTTATAAAATGTACTCCAGTTTCTGAAGCAGTAGAGCTAGTGACCTCTAGAATTCCGTGCGCAAAATATGCGCTTTTCTCAAAAAACGAGAAACCTTGCACTATCCAGCCTTTAGAATGACCTGGGAGTTTGGTCATGTTCTTTCATAGATTTTGCGACACGTATCCCAGAGCTCCAATATCTATTGGCACGACGTGTCCTTTTTAGGCACCTCATCCGGCTGAATTCGATTTCCAAACCCTTTGCTTGTAAGACATTTCGCTGCCTCCTCGGCAACGACGTTCCGATCGCAACATCCATGAGTAGACACGATTTTTCCTCCGAATCCTGGATAACAATATCGGGTTTGTTGGCTATTACCGTACGATCCGTATGGATGATTGTTGTTATTGCTGCTGCTGTTGGGAAAGAGGGAGGAAAATGCGAGGCGTGGCGAGGGCGTTGGCAGCGTGAGAGCGTGGGCTGTGGCGGTGGCGGCAAAGGCGGCGGTGGAAGGCGGAGAGGCGACGGAGACTGTGTCGGAGACTTGTGTCGGAGACTTGTGTCGGAGACTTGTGTCGGAGACTTGTGGCGGAGACTTGTGGCGGAGACTTGTGGCGGAGACTTGTGGCGGAGACGGTGGCGGAAACGATGGCGGAGACGGACACGGTGGCGGTGGCGGTGGCGGTGGCGGTGGAAGGTGGAAGGTGGAGAGGCACCGGAAACAGTGACGGAGGCGGCGGCGAAGGCGGCGCCGGAGACGGTGGCGGTGGAGGCGGCGGTGGAAGGCGGGGCGGCGCCAGAGACAGTTGCGTCAGTGGCGGCGAAGGCGGAGGAGGGGGTGGAAGGCGGAGACGGCGGCGGAGGCGGAGACGGAGGATGGCGGGGCGGCGCCGGAGACGGTGGCTGCAGTGGCGGCAAATGCGCCGCCGGGGGGGGGGGAGTGTGGTCAGCCACCTGCGCCTCGTGTTCAGCGGTCTTCTGGGAACTTCTCTGACGCCAGGCAAATAGAACAGCTCTGGGCGACCTCGACATGGAGAGATGTGCTCCTTGCAAGCCGTGGTTTCTTCTCCCACATTCAGACTGCGTACAAAGGGTACGCGAAACACCACCCACAACCACTAAATCAGTTGGATACTGGGGGCGGGAAAGCGGAAAGGGTCCTCTCATCAATTCTTCAATATACCTGATGTTCTGATGTTATTAATGACGTTTTGACTTTTCAAAGAATTGCTTAGAGGCCCAGTTACAATCGAGAGGTCCGGATACACCCAACGATTCCTGGCTGAGGCAGCCAATTGTTTGAACACTCAAAATATAATTTATATGAATAAGAATACTATTTTTCCGTATGTATGCGTGTTGTTATTATTATTATTATTATTATTAATATTAATATTATTCTTGAGTACTTATTTTTAGAATCCCACTTTCGTTGTGCACTTAAAATATCTTTCGTCTGCGAATTTTTGCGATAGCATAATGGTGTTCTATATTTTAATACATACCATATTTTTTTAATTTCTTTCGTTGCAATCATGTTCATCCACTATAGCATTGCATTTTGGCGAGAGTTTTGTATTGCCATCTTATGGCGTTGCGAAGGGGACGAAGCACCCTCTCAGGGGTCTGGAGAAATACTGAACAGCTAAGGACTGGCTGCACGGAATTCAGTTGGAAGTGTTGTTCTTTCGTGATAAAGAGCGTACGTTTTCTTTTTCCTTCTGCGTTTGAAATCGAGGAGACCTACGAAATCGCGCAGCTGGCGATCCTCGCACCAACGCTCGAAGTTGCGATGGCGGATGTGGCTTCGCAGCGGTGGAATTCCCAGGCGCGGCCCCACAGATGTGGGTGGGGCGGGGCGCGGGCGGGGCGCGGGTGGCTGATTCCGTGATCTGCGTCTGCTGCCCACACGCCCGCCATGCGGATCAGTGGCCGCGTTGCTTTAGATTCATTCAGTCAAAAAAAAAAAGTAAAAACTGTATGTGACGTAGGAGGGAAAACATTATTTGCGCACGTTTTCTTGAGTTCCAGAATCTCTTTTAGAGTTTAAGAACCCCTCTATAAGTAGTTGAAAGATGAGTAAAAGTTTAACATAATAAATAAAATAAATAAATAAATAAATTTTAAAAGTTGTAAGATCAGCAATATTTGAAAAATAGTCATTTTCGTGTCTGAGTTATAGAAAACTTATTTGCATTGGTACACAAATTGCATGTATGATTTTTCTGCATTGCTAACAAAATAGCAACCCGCCCACAAGCAAAAGGAGAGTTCAACAAAACGTGCGCATAGGGAAGCTACTTTTACGTCCAGAAGCAAAACAAGGGGCCATCTCAGCATTTGCTCAATGGATCAGGGGAACTGGACAAAAACCTAATCGAGATCGATTCTTTTTGACAATCATAATGCTTCATAATGTCCCAAGTAATGTCACCGAATACTTATACACTGAACAGCCAAAACGTTGTTCAAGCTATGCATATTGAAATAAAGAGATCTGGAACCAATCAGAATACGCTCAGCAACGTCTATATAAGACAACCAGTCTGTCACAGTTGTTAGGTCTATTACTGCTGCTACATTGACTGTTTTTCACGATTTAAGTGAGTTTGAACGCGGTGTTACAGTGAGCGAAAGAGAAATGAGGTAGCATCTCCGAGGTCGCGATGAAATTTGGATTTTGCCGTGCGATTATTTCAGAAGTGTACTGTGAATATCGGGTATCCGGTAAAGCATCAAACCTCCGGCATTGCTGCTGCCGTAAAAAGGACGTACAAGAACGGGATCGCCGACGACTGAGAATAATTATTCCGCGTGACAGAAGTGCAACCCTTCCCCAAGTTACTGCAGATTTCAGTGCTGGGCCATCAAGCAGTGTCAGCGTGCACACCAACGAGACATTATGGATATGAGGTTTCGGTGACGAAGGCTGCGTTGATGACCGCACGACGCAAAGCTTTACCCTCGCCTGAGCCCGTCAACACCGACATGGGACTGTTGATGACTAGAAACACGTTGCCTGGTCTGACGAGTCTCGTTTCACATTGTGTCGAGCGGATGGACGACAACCTCATGAATCCATGGACCCTGTGTGTCAACAGGGGACTGTTCTAGCCGGTGAAGGTTCTGTGATGGTATGGGGCGTGTGGAGGTGGAGTGTGATGGGGCCCCTGCTACGTGTATATACGACTCTGACAGGTGACACGTACGGAAGCATCCTGCCACCTGCACCCATGCATGTTCGTCGTGCATCTCGACGGACTTGGGCAATTCCAGCAGGACAATGCGACAGCCCACACGTCCAAAATTGATACAGAGTGGCTCCAGAAACACACTTCTCAATTTAAACACTTTCACAGACCACCAAAATCCCCATACACGAACAATATTGAGCATATCTGGGATTCCTTGCAACATGCTGTTCAGAAGAGATCTCCACCACCTCTTTTACTTTTACGAGTTTGGACAGCCCTGTTGGATTCATGGTGTCGATTACCGCCAGCACTACTTCAGACATTAGTCGAGTCCATACCACGTCGTGGTGCGACATTTCTGCGTGCTCGCGGGAACCCTACACGATATACCATTTTTTGGCTCTTCACTGTAATATATAGCTACTTATGCACATTTGCTTTTTAGTTTCACGTTGAAAACAATTGCGAACCTAAAATATACTTTTTCAGGTTTTGATTGATTAGTGTTTCCGGGCGTGACAACTGCTGAGGTCAATAGTCCTGTAAGTATAGTGAATGTTTGTTTGCTTCGGGTGGCTGTGATCTTCCCCTGTGGAAGGCGAGATCCGGCGCCGACCCATCGTTGGCTAGCGAGGTTTTCCCCAACTAGGTATCTTTCACCAGCGGGGCACCGTCCCAGTCGAGATAAGCTCTAATCTCCCGACCGGTCTCCCGGCATGTGTGGTAGTGTTGCGCGCGCGTGTGTGTAAGTAAGGTTAGGGTAGAGTATGGTAGGATAGTACAAGAAATTGGAAGGAAAGATCGCGCGCGGTCCGACTTCGTACTTTCTTACGACTCACGCAGTCCATGTTCTTTCCAACTCTGTTCAGCCTCTTTAATTCTTCTTTACAGTCTGACAGAAAGTTTGTGTCCCAAGAGTTTAATTTTCAACCAAATTTTAACGTGCGAGTTGTGATCATTACTTTAAGAATCTGATTTGAGGAATATTAGAATGCACTGCCATATCGCAGAATTCTTCAGTTGTAATACAACACGTGAAGAAATCTACATAGGACGTTCTGAATTTGTGAAGCTAAATTAATTTAATGAAAACAAATAGAATGTGAAACATGCCTTCTAATTTCGGTGTATTATGTAAACCCATCTCTGATTATCATCCTGATTTTCATGTTTTTCTTGAGTTTTGTTCTCCCATTTTCTAGTTGCTTCATACTCGAGAATACTTCGTTACAAAGTTGAAAGGCAAATTGACTCAGTGTTTAGCGTCCGTTACAGTTTGATACTACAAGTAAGGTTTTAGCTCCTCTACTGTATGCATGTATGTACTTGGCGCGAAAGCTCGTAAACGGGCTCAGGCCTACCGGCGACGTCCGTGCCTCGCGGCCATGGGATAAAGGGGGTACCTGTGGTTAGCACGTAGATTTGTTGCCACGCCGTATTCCGGTCTTCTTAACCTGAGAAGAGAGGTTTTACATCGTCACATAACAGCAACATATACTGGGACATTGCAAGGAAAGCGCACACTATAGTCTTGCCTCACCGGGAATCAATCCCGAGCTGCATAGTGGAAAGCGAGCACGCTGTCAAAGAGCTTGCTAAGAGGACCAGCTCCTCTATTAGTAGAATTATTTTTTTCTGAACATAGTTGTAAAGGTGCGGATTGAGATATTTTTGCTATCTGAAATAACAGTAAAATATTTGTATGCTGTATTTTAACGAAAGGGTTGTGTATATCGAATTCATTGGTAACTTCTCTTCTTTTGCTTTCAGGCAAACAACGCTTACATGAGAGACCAATGGTATCACTCCATCCTGTGGAAGGTAAGCATGTAAGGCCTCTTTGTTTCTTGTTAGTTTCGTTGTCACATCCGACAATCTTGGCAAGCTCATTTTAAAAATGCGTTTTTTTATCTGCGAATGTTTACGTGTTTTGGTAGGTTTTTAGAAATTCATGGTTGGTAATTTTTTTCAATTAACTGTTAAATCTGTTTATGACGTTCTATGACTAACCCAAAACATGTTGAATTTTAAATACAAATGCTTCTGAATACACCGACTTAATTTTCTTTTATTTAGTTTCCCTCGTATGTAGCAAACAGCTATAAAGGTAGTAGTGCTGGTCCAATTTTTGGCGCACTCTGTATTTTCGAAAACTGCAAAACAAATTTCGGAGCTGTAACTTCGATTGAAGGAAGGTAATACATTTAATTTAGAACTAAGAATCACACTTCTTTCCTTTAAGAAGTGGTATGCTGATAATTGTATTAAAAATTTGAAAGCTCACTTCAGTGTAATCAAAGCTGGCTTGTGTGAAATTATTCTTGCTTTTCTGTATTATGTGCTCTAAATACTGTATAATTTAAATTTATTCATGTTCGTTTCAATTCTGAAAGTTAGAAATGCTACTTTTTCTGACAATCGAATATATTTAGGTAGACCCGAGAGGCGCTTCGTTTAAATTTGGCTTTTTGAGGTTATAATTGAGTTTTTAGTATGGCAAAAATCACAATATTTCAATATTACCTCACTATATCCAATTATGCGAGAAAGTATGCGGTTTAGCACCTCTAGTTCTGTATTGTTTGCTGCAGTGTTCCTGTTAAATTTATTCCTGTTTGCTTAATTTGTAAAATTTAGAAATGTTTGCTCCTCCTGACTATCGAAATGAATTCAGATATGCTTCATAGGCGCTTGGTGGTTGAATTGGACGTTTTGAAGTAATAGCTAAAATGTTAGTTGCGCAGAAATTACTATGTTTCAATACTACGTAAATGGTTCCAATAATGCGAGAAAGTGCGTGCTGTTACTGCCCCGCTAGTTTTCCGTAAGAAGCTTGTGAAACATGCGGAGAGAAGCAAATGTCCCTCGTGTGGAAGAGGCTACCCGTGAGACTGCGATGTAGCGCGGGTTGCATAACTGCAGTAAAGCTCTGTGGCGGCTGGGACAGGGTTTGCTTTTATGGGAAAGGAATGCAAGCGGATTCGGGTGCGTTAAACTCGTAATGCGAGTGTGTAAGAACTAGGGAAAACATCAATAATTTGTCGCAGATGCGCATGCGTTGTATTTCTCGTGTAATATTGGCGGTATTTTGTCATGTAGGTAGAATTAGTAATTCTTGTGTAATATTCGTAGAATGAATTTTATTGTTTTACCTTCAAAATCAAGAGTAAATTTTACGTTATTGAAAATATATGAATAATATTCCTCTATTTAATTTCGGCAATAGTTATCAGCAAAATTTTGGAACTCAAATTCGTTTGTTAGATTTTTTTATTTTCAAATATAAGTTTCGAAATCTTGATACTGAAGTAAAGTGATTTATCAAATCAGTCTCATTACGTCGTTTTTACATTCTGGGCAATACATACGGAAGGCTTTACTCTCGTTCTCGTAAGAAATGAGACGCCTCATTAATATTTCGAAGGTCGTTACCCAAATTTTAGTAGACAAAATATTGGAAACGCGAAATGATCATTATAAAATGTGTGCTAGGTTTACTGCAACCAGATATCTCCCACCAACGAGGCACCGCCGAAACCGGGACTAGCTCTATGCTCCAGACTCGACTCACGGCATGTTTAGTAGTGTTATGCTAAGTCAGTGTGTGGAAAGATACAAGGAGGGAGGAAAGATTGCGCGCTGTCCGTGGCCCGTTTGTTAGGGTACTACTCCGGCATTCGCCTGGTGTGATCGGAGAAACCACGGAAACTACTGATTAGCGCAGGCGATCGCTAAAATTCACCTCCAGACACCAACTCAAATTCGACCCAGCTTCTGTCGGTAATCCTGCCACTGTCGGTACACGAACGTAGGATCTCCCGGTGAGATGTTTTAATAATATATTATTAGTTACTAATAGCTATATACATTATTAGTTGAGTATTGAGTTCAACGCGATCGTCTGCAAGTTCTGAAGTAATGTGAATGTAACTTTTGTGTTAGTCTCGTTTGAAGATCAGGAGTACTTAAGGCCTTGATTTACAATCACAAACTTTCATATATTTACAAATTAATTACTTTTCTTAACTTTCGTCGTCCAGCATCAAATCATAGATTAAGAAAGTCATCAATGCAATAGCATCGTTGAGCTCCACCAGTTTGTGTCAACGATTCTCATCTAGGATTCAGTTGATCAGTTAGTTCATTAGTTCAAAAGGGAACAGATAAGTTTAGGAGAAAGGGCTCTACTCTTTCTGTGAGCTTTCGCCTCCATTCGCATCCTAACACCTTCTGTTTTCTTTTGCAGAAAAGCATTTTCAAGTACCGCAACATACTGAAGAAGTCGACCCGCCCGGAGGTGGTGCTGAAGGAACTGAAGGTAAGACATCTTTCACCAATGTGTTAGCCATTGTCACCATACAAGATACTCGCACGAAGGTAGCTGAAACAAAAGTATTGATTAGTAATTATTACGTGATAGGAATATTGGGAGTGATGCGCCCTTCAGTCTGTCTACGCCGCTCGAGACATGAAACCCCTAATAACGACGTCGCCCTTCGGGAGATCGCCCTGAGGAAGGTCTCAAAATGGCGGCTGAAGCACCAGGACTAAAACTCGGCTTCTTCCGGACAGCCGAGTAGTTTCTGACTCCTACTGTAAGAGCCTGTGCTCTCGCGAATTCGCTGCTCGCGCGTTGATAAGGCCACCTCAGTGGTGGAAGCGAACCCACCAAGCCCAAGCCCTTCTCCCTTCATCGCGTTGGGCAGTATCTCCCGTACTCCACTCAAGTTCAAATGTATTGTACAGACGATACCGCGAGCCGATAGCTATGCAATCCCTGCATTTCCAAAGTTCTATGTGAGAAAATTGAACCAATCGCCCCGTGTTTTGACAATTTGTTTGGCTGGGTTTGGCCGTAATAGTTTTGATCATTGAGTTAAACAATTGATTTTTTTACGTATTTGAGACTGCTCTTCAACCACAAAGGCAATATAGCGACCACAGTAAGTAACTTTGAGGATAGCGGTATCGGTATAGGACACGAACAAACACCCATACCCCTGGCGGGGTTCGAAGCAACGACCCTTCAGGCAGCTACGGCTCTTCAGGCTCGACAATCCAGGCAGGCCAAACAATTGATTATTTCCATTTCATAAATCGAAACATTTGGTACGCGAACTGTACGATAATTTTGCAATCCGAACGGCATTCAATGTAATGACACTTAAACATTCAGGAACGTACTAGTAAAGTGGTGAGGATTATGGCGGACTGAAAACTTGGCAGCTGCGCGCGTGCGAGCTGAACGTGGCGCGGCCCCTGCAGCGGATTTGCCTGTCTGTGTGCGTGTGTGTGTGTGTGCGCGCGCGCGCGCGACGAAGGAGTCGGTGCACCGGGGAGAGGGGGGGGGCGCCCTACGTTTCTTCCGCCTTCTGCTCCGTGTGAGAAGGCATCGGCAGCCCTCCCCTCCCCTCCCAATCCCTTACGAAGGGCGGGGCGCATCCCATCCCGCCCCG